CAGCTCACTGGGCAGGGGGGCACGGACGGCCTGATGCAGTGACACTGGGGCCAGCACCAGCTCCACCACCATACACACAACATGGTCTACTACCTTCTGAGCTGTTTTTGTGAACACTACTCATCTTTCCCAAGTGCTCTGAAGAAATGGGAAATCGTATTATTCTGGATAAAAAATGAGAAGTTTGGAGAGGTTAAGACAAACCCTGCAAGGAAAGACACTGGGGTATAGAGAAGTCTGCAAATAGAACGGAGACCAGATCCCACGACCTGCCAGGGTGGTTTTCTCGGCCCGGGGAACCGGCCCAACAGCACGGTTCCTGCAGCTGCCGTGTAACCACGGATCCGGGGGCCACAAAGTTTAGGAGCAGTTCTGGATGACTGCCCCCCAAGGTCAGACCACAGGGGGGGCGCCCCAGCACTCCCATGTGTGGTACCGAAGAGTGAGCAATGTTCCATGGCTCTGCTCACAAATCCACCACTCAAGGATGCAGAACTTTAAGGACAAACTAAATACACCCGTTGGCTCCGTGACACGTCCTGGGGGCTAATGGAATCATGTGTCCATGTCCATACGTACACAACAGACCAGAGGGTGTGTGTTTGCTGCTGTCTGAACAGCATCAATGCTCAATCAGGTCAGAACGGACTGGGTGACGGATCAAAGATCCGCTGGACAGCAACACCGGGGACTCCCCTATGAAGTCTCATCAAACCCTCACCTCCAGTTTTGACGGAGACTGAGGTCCAGAGCATCCCCTATGCAGCTGTCCCTTCATCTCTCTGCTTCCGCAAAACCACAAGGACGTGCCCTGGGAGCCCATGCACTCAGTCTCCCCGCCTCCCACAGAAGACGATGCTCTTACACACCAGCTTCCAGTCTCTCCTGTGAGAACCTTTGTGTTTGTGTCTCTGGAGCAAACACATCAAAACAGAATGAGATTCTGCAGCATTTTAAGTAAAGCAACAGGCTTTACCTAGAAAACATGAGGAGGGGGCGCCTGGGTGACTCAGCAGTGGAGTGTCTGCCTTTGGCTCAGGGGGTGATCATGGGGTCCTGGGATCAAGTCCCACATCGGGCTCCCTGCATGGAGCCTGCTTCTCCCTCTGCCTGTGTCTCTGCTTCTCAGTCTCTCTCTGTCTCTCTCACAAAGAAAGAAAAGAAAGGAAAGAAACAAACCATAAGGGGAGGAATATTTAATGCCCAAACCAGAGAGGCACCTGGTGGCTCAGTCGGGTTAAGCATCTGACCCTTGATCTCAGCTCACAGCTTGATCTCAGGGTCATGAGTTCAAACCCCGAGTTAGGCTCTACACTGGGCACTGACCCTACTTAAATTAAAAAAAAAAAAAAAAATCCACATCAGGAACTTAATGAACAACGGAGGCCACAATCACGATGAACTTTAACACCTGCAAATTTCTCGTCCCCTAGAAACCTGGTCAACTCTGACAACTTCTCTAAGAGGGAGCAGTGTCAGACATTATCAGAAAGGGGAAGAAAAGCAGCCACTCGGGGAATGGCAAGGTTCACTCCTGCCTGCGAGCACATCTGCCCCTCGCCGGACATCATGGCCTCTTCTAAAGAGCACGACCTCCCTGTGTGGCAGCCACCATCCCTGAAACAAGACCTGCTTTGTAAGTAACAACTCATGGGGAGCCAGTGGCCACCACATCCTCCAGCACCGCGTCTCCAAGAGCTGTAAGGAGCAGCGTGAAGCTCAGGGCCCATGACAACATGAAAACACACGAAGATTCCCATACACACCTTTATTCGTGTCTTCTTCTCAGTCACCATAAAACAAACTGCATAACACATCGCCAACACCTCCACGGTGCTTTATGGCAACGAAGTGGGCAGACACTAGAGTTCCGTGAAGGGTACCGATGACAACCTGCCCACTGTTCCAGGATATAGGACCTGTGAGCCGAAGCCAACCATGGAGAAGGGAACATGGCAAGGCCTGAGGGACAACGCAGCCTCTGTGAGGGCGGCAGACCATCCCTGCTCAGTGGCTGGTGGCCTCTACATCAGGTGCGCGCTGCCCTGGACCCAGGAGGCTGGCCAGGGCTCTCCCCATGCACAGGTGAGGGCAAGGTCAAGGGCAAGCTGACCTGCCTAGAAGTGCTGGCGGCCACACCTAGAACTCTATGATTTCTCACTTTTCAGTGTGTGACATCTACCCGCGCCCCTTTTATACCAGAATAGAACCTCAGTTATCACTCAGAAAAGTCTGTCAAAAATAACGCCGCACCAGTGAGATTTCTTTCCCATTAGGTTAACAGTAAGAAAGCCCAACTAAATGTGAACATGGGCCGTGGGCTGCAGGGTGCCCCCCAAACTACACTCCAGGACCTCGGACCTCAGAAGGGGATGGCGTGTGGAGATGGGGTGCTAAGGAGATTGCTGAGGTTTAATGAGATTAGACGGGAGGGACACGATGCAGTATGACTGTGTCCTTACAGACAGAGGGAAGGCCACATGTCTACACAGCCAGGAGAGACCTCAGGGGAGCCAGCCCTGCCCCACCTGCATCCTGTCCTCCAGCCTCAGCCCTAGGAGGAAACCTGCCGTTAAAACCACCTTGGCCTGATGCACACGGCATGAGGGTGCTCTCACCATCGCCCCCCATGGCCCACTGTGTGGTCAGAGCACGGCCCTTAAGAAGGCCGGTGAGGGCAGCTGAGACACGTCTGGGCTTCTGAGTACAAGTGCGAGTCCAACAAAGGGCCCTCTGGGAACAGGGCCAGGACCCCGAGTGTGGACGTGACCCCTCCAGCTGCTCAGGCAGGAGTCCCAGCTGCAGGATGACATGGACAGGGCTCCATCCCCTCAGACATGCTCCTCAGCCCCTGACCACTGCTCCCCTGCACAGGGCCATTCTGGAGATGACGGAGACGACACGATCAAGGGGTGAAGGTGACTGGACCCGAGCATCACAAGGCAAGCCGAAGCAACATTCTGCTGAAACGAGGCCCCCAGTCGGTGACACGCACACAGTCCCCAGTAAAGAACTGCTGGGACAGAGCCCTGCTTGTCTCCCTGGTGGGGATGCCCCCTCTGGTCACACGTACACACAGCGCCTGAACAGAAGCCACCAAATGGCTCACACATCCGGCAGGACACAAATTCAAGGCAAATCTCTAAAGCTACTTCTGCCGTCTGCAGCCGAAGCCGACTCCAAATTCGGGATTTCAATCCAGGGCAGCCAGCTCTGCATTTGCGCCAAGGTCCATAGAAGGCCTGCCTCTATCCTGTTTGCTCACACCCGCCATAGCCATGCCAACACAAAAACAGTTTCCCAGGTAGGTGTAGGTGCTGATCCATGAAGGGCTCTGGTAGCTCACCCGGGGCTTCGAGCCCTGTGCTGCCCGAGCACCCAGGTCCACAGCGCGGAGCTAAGGGGCACGGGGACTCACCCACAGGGCACACGGCGCCCTATCACCCGCTGGAAACAGCTAGCAGAAGGAAATGTGAGCCAGGGCCCGCACCTCAGTGTCACCATCGCCTGGGCTGGCAGGGACCAACGCACCACCTGGTCTAAGCAGAAAGACGCAGGGTCACTTTTAGCAAAATGATGTGCCAAGACAAAAGAACCCAAAACCATCTGTCACAGAGATCTCTAAGCTGAAAGATTTCACGGCTAATACAAGGGCCGAGAGACTCTCTGAAACATCCACAGAAATAACGCAAAGACTCCCCTAACCCTGAGGCTCAGCAGCCTGGGAGCTTACAGACACGAGGTGAGACCATGTACGTGGGCTCAGAAGCCTCAGTCTGACGAGAATACCTGGACATGTTCAAAGTATCTTTGAAACAGAAAAAAAAAGAAAAAAGAAACAGAAAATAGTTCCTATAATCCTGTAATGGAAGCATACATTTCTTCAGCATAATTTGAAAGTAAGAAAACACAGTTTGCCATTGACTTAGGAAGGAAGGTCAGAGAGGTGTCCAGAGAGACGGCCGGGCTCTGGGTGCCCCAGGACCCCACAGCCCTCTTGTGGGCACCTCCCACCGACCTGGGGTCCCACACCATGATGGCCGAAGGCTGTGGAGTACCTCCCACACCTTACTCACCACCAGCGCCGTGGCTGCGCCAAGGACAGTGGAACCGGCTGGCTCCCCCACAATCCTCCAAGCCAGGACTGCTTCAAACAGACCCACTCGCAGGCCTGTGGCCAGCGGCCAGCGATCACCCATCCTGGGAAACCTGCCGCCCCTCTCAAGGAAACGCTTCCCCAGCTGCGCCTGCGGTAGCACAAGGGTTGGTGCATGTCAGGAGGACGACATGAGATCCGCCCTCCACCGGCGGTGCCAGTCCAGCCCCCGAGTCCCCAGCACTTGCTTGCAACTCCACACAGCCCTGGCACCCGTACCCACAGCCACCAGCATAGCAGGAAGGTGGCCTGTCCCGCCCCAGCCTTAACCACGTGATCCGTGGGCCCAGCTCAACAGGGAAACATCAAAAAACAAATCTAATTAAAGGCACATCATGAATACTCTTTAAACCTCACTGATTAAAATTATACCCAGGAAGATAAAGCACAGAACACACATGCCGTTTGCGCCCCCGTCTGGAGATATGGAGCTCTGCCCCTGCACTTGCACTGGTTGGTACTAAAGTATTAACAGCATTACAAGCAATATACAAAGCAAAACTAGATGTGAAAGTACAAAATACGCATTATTTAATTCTATTTAAAATAATTAAGTTTAAAATTTTATGGTAAATTTCTCATGAATGGCAAACCACAAACTTGATTATTTTGGACTACGCATCTGGAGTATCACTTCCTGCCCGTCTCCCCTCGGGGACTGCCAAGTGTCCTCACGCAAGTAGGAGTTCGACTTCTTCCCGTTTCTGCGTGCGTCGGACAGTTGACACGTGGTGAAAATGGGGAAAAGGTTACTCAGAATCATATAGTCAAACTTTAGAAACTTTCCAGAAGCAGGTTTAACACATCACATTTTGCTCATGAGCACAAAATTTACAGTCAGAAGTTGCACATAAAGGGTTTATTTTAAATGTTTTAAGGATAGGATAGAGTTACATCATAATTATAAAAATTACTTACAGAATTAACAGATTTATATTGTTTATACTTCTAAATGCAGAGAACAGGGAACTGTCTACACATCGTATAAAATAAAATTAAAATTAAAAATGAATTCAAGCTTGAAAATGAGGTCATTTACCTAATTGCAAGATGCGAACACGACGACCCCTGAACTATACACATCCGCTCACACCGCACTAATGGTGGAAATACAAAAAGCGCAGCATTTCCAAGGAACCACAGACATTTCGACCATAATTATTTTGTTATAATAATTGTTCCTGTTTTGTCTTTGGAGAACTTTCTTTTTTTTTCTTTTTTTTCTTTTTTTTTTAAGACAATCAGCTTAAGAATGTTTTCAGGCACTACAATTTGTGACAATCAGAACAGTCCTCTAATGGGTCCACAGCGTTCAGAGATTCAAGCCCAATGCACTTCGGGGTTTGGCACGTAAAACAAGGACAGGAATGAACTCTGGCTTAGAAGTAACTGTGAGGCTTCGAGAATGCACAGTCCCTTCAAATGCTGCACGACAGAGCTGGGAAGTCACCTGCTGCTGGCACTGCATGGCTTCGCCAGTGCACTTTCATCCTACGACCACTAAAACGGCACAGGAAGCAAATATACAGAAAACTGAAAACAAATAAAAACAAAGATAGAAAAAAAACCTAAATATCTTTCACATGCAAGTTCAGTTAGTTACATTGAACATCCTACTTAGAATAGAGCATGCAAAAAAGGATGGTCTGCGTCTAAGGTTCTCCTCGGAAGCTTCACGTGGCAGCCGGACGTCACACGCACACGACACGAGAACACTAGAGCAGGTCAGTGAGGAAGGCCGGGACATTTTATACAGGTTCAGGTCTTGTGTGGTCACAAGTCCCACGATAATTTTGGAAACTCATGTTGGCCTCCTAGAACAAGGAACCAACATTCTGATAGCAGGAAAAGGCAAGCAATGCATGCAGATCTGAAACGTGAGCCTAGAACGAAGCCTGAAATACCGGGCGAGGGAGTGCAGTCAGTCACCGCGCAAGTGTGGGCTGAGCCACCAAAAGTAAAAAGAATGGGGGGAATAAAGAACACAACAAAAAAACCCCTTCCCCTTCCTTCCACCCTAAAGGCAACACATGGAACACTGATTAACATAACGGTGATCGTCACGTTCATCTGGGGAGTGGCAGACCACGTAGTACTGAAGCTGCTACAGGTACTTGCAGGAAAACCCCAATGCAAGTCACCAAGTGACCCAACCCTCAGGACACTTCCCAAGAACACTGGTTTTCAGCCTGAAGCCACCTCGTCACGTCCGGGTGCACACACTGGGCACACCCACTCTATTGGCACACGTGTCCACATGCGCTTGGGAGCTGGGCCCAGCCTGGAGATTCGCATGCAGGGACTGTGACGAGAGCCTCCAGGGAAGGAGGTGACAGGTGTGCAGCATGACCCCTGTTCAAGCAGGAGGAGCGTCTGAGACCAGGTGCTCACCGCAGGGAGACAACCTACACAGGCCGGGCGCTGCCCTGCTAGAGCGCGCAAGGTGACCACCCTACAGCACCACAGCACACAGCCTCACCATGCGGACAAGCATGCCGAGGCCACAGCTACAGTGTCTCTGAGGCCTCACGATCTGGGAGCTGACTCCCAGAACTCAGGCAAGTTTTCCAATCTCCACAAGAGACTGGTCTGACGTCCTGCCTCTCTCCTGGCTTTCATACGGTCAGGGCTCATCCAAAACAAAGGGACAGATGGCCATGTCGCTGACACACCAACTACCTCTGCGGGTCTATTCCGGTGAAGCCCACCTTGTGGCAATCAGCCACGAGAAGGTCGTGCAGCCACAGGCTGCTTCCAGGCACACCCGGGGGGCTAGCGCAGTGACCGGCCCTGACGTGGCAGGGCCCCTGGATGGGGAGAGCCCATATCAACAGCACTCGAGGAGCAAGACTGTGCAGCACCACAGAAGGCGGCCGGGGACCTGGCTGTTGTGCATCTAGATCCTCTTGTGGGGAAAAGCCTTCTGACCGCAACCATGTACCAGTAAGAACAGTAATAAAAATAAGTGTTCCAGAGAACCTGCTGGCAGGCGGCAACACCATTCTGAAACTTGTATTTCTAATATAAAAGCACTAGGTTCTGCCAGGAACTTACCACACACACACACAAACCACTGATGCACTGCTGCCTCTCAGATCCACGTACTAGAATCCAGACTGATTTGTACACATGAACGGACCGCTTGGGCCGCCCAAAACACACCTGCACCACTGTGTGTGCACAAGTACCTGGGCTTTGCTTTAAAACAGAAAGAGGATTTATGATTAAAAAAAAATGTAAACAAAAATTTACAAAGCTTAGAATTAAAGGCAGCTTTTGACCCAGATTTCTAATGTTTTGTTGAATTCTAATGTGGGTCCAGCAACTGTTCTCAAGGGATTCATATTTGGACTCATGATTTAAAGCCTCCAGACTGAAACAGTGTCTGAACTTCCGACTCCAGAACATGCTGAACATCCTGATGTTGTCTCCTGTGCCCACATTTAATTTTAAATAGACAGCAGTAATATACAAAATAGGACTGACTTAGGACAAGCACTCCTGTTAAACTGGAGAATATTATTGAACCCCCACCCCAATCCACAAAGAAAGGACTGCCAAGGAAGAGTGTGTGTGTGTGCGCGCGTGCGCGCGCGTAGTGCATATGGACACACACAGAGCTGGACAGGTAGATAGAGATACGTACACGTCTCAAAAAAGAAGGCAGTACCGACAGTACCAAACTACGCTTGCAGTGTGGCAGCAGAGAAGGAGAGCTATGGTGACGGGGAGCTGGGGACGATCCAGTACAGTTCTACACGACCGCAATGCTAGCTTAACTTGCACCAAACTTGCCTTAACTCCCCTCCAGACACACAGACTTCTTTTAAGAGGAAGGAGTTCCTTACACAAAATGCTTTGTGTTCACATAAATCTGTACTATTCAGAACAAAACCAGTTCTGCTGGCAGAGATTGTGGGTTCGCAGGGACATTTAAGCTTTCATTAAACTGGAAAGCAATCAAGTCTTTATGTCTACAAATTATACATTTAATAGTTCCACAAATTTGGCAAAGTTCATGATGACATCTAGGATGTTTTCACCAAATCGTAGACATAAATATGGAAATCGTCATCAAACTTGATGAAATAGACAGACGGTTTGGCCTCCACTTGATGAATGACCATGCCAGTCCTTTTAGAGCCGTCCTCTTTGGCATATTCCACTTGTTTGCCTACCAGGCTGTCCACAACTTCTCCTGGTTCCCTTTCTGCTGGAGGAGAATCATCTGTGTTAAAGAGGGGAAAGAAAAGAATTTAAAGTCAAATCTTAGGTATGTACCAATTCACATGTCTATTTTCATAATAATTTTTTAAAAACTTCACATCCCTGATTATCTAGGGCAAGAGTCGGCAATGTTTTCTTCAAGGGCCAGATGGTAAATATGTGAGGCTTGAGGCTGTACACGGTGTCTGCACAGACTACTCAGCTCTGCCAGTCACAGGGGAGCAGCCGCGGGGGTGCCTAAGTGAAAGGTGTGGCTGTATGCCCGTAAAACTTTATTTATTAAAACAGTGTGCCACCCCCCAGGACCAGGGTGGGTAAAGGATTTTAAAATCATAAGCAGAAATTCCCGTGGCTCCTGTGTAGTAACAGCTGAGAATGAGAGGTGAGGGCTCAGCAGGGCAAGACCAGGGAAAAGCTGAGCCCCACAGGACTTGCCACTGGTAATAGTGCCCCCTGGGACGCTGAGAAGACACACCCCCCCTGGGCTTTCCCAGGTCACCCCACCACACACAGTCTCCCCCAGCTCAGCTTCCGAATAAGAGTTCCCAGCTCTGATATGAGTTCCCGAGCTCTGAACACAGGTGCCCAGCGCCACCCTCCGGCCCAGACCAATCACAACAGGTCCCCCGGGTCCCCTGAGATGGCAGAGGTCCCCTCTGCCCGGGGCCTGCCGGGTGACCCTGGCAAAGCCACGCCATGCCACCCTGGGCGAGAACGGCTTGGAGCACAGCAACAAGCGACCACCGGCTCCCATGGCGAAGCTGGGAGCAGCAGGGCAGGTGCGGTGAGCTCTTCAGCCAGGAGCAGCACCGGCCTCCCACCCCAGGCGCCTTGCTCACACCACATGGAGCACCCTCAGTCTCGCAGCCCTGAGCCTGCCACCTCGACCAGCCCACGCCCAGCCTTGTTTCAGCGGGTCTCTGAGCAAGGAAGCCTGGCCAAGCCACAGGGCCGAGCCACACACTGTTCCCTTGCCAGGCAGTGGCGCCAAGCCCGCCTCACTTTAGGAGCACCTCCAGTTTACAGAGCTTCAGGAGCTTACAGAGCTTTAGGAGCTGGGACGGCCGCCACCTCAGCAACCCCGGCAGGATGTCAGGGCCTCTCGCCGAGGCCCCCCGCACAGAGGCCCCTGCACAGCATTCACACCGGAGCATTATCACTGTGGGCCAAACACTTACTGAAGCAGTTCGCTGATGGGAGGAAAAGAATGAAAAGGCAAGGGGGTCTGGGGGACACCACACACAATGCAAAGGCCCACGCTTTCCAACAGTGAGGCAGCAGAGTCCTTACTGTGGGTCCTTCTCTACAAAAAAGTTAAAAATCCAACTTCATATAGGCTGGAGAAATGCTCTTAAGGAACACTCTCCTGATAATTAAATTCCTGCCCATATAAATATTTTCCATTACAGACTTATGACAAACCCTAAGACGAAAAAGGTAAAAAGTCAGGGCCAGATGAGTACAAGTGCTGGAGGAAGAACCCAAACGAGAACAGACATGCTGTCACCCCATCCAGGCCAGGGAGCCCAGTGCTGGAGGCAAGGCTATGGGGCAGTTTAAAAAAGAACAGGCTTACCACCCAAAAATGAAATTAAGATAATAATTTCATTCATAACAGTATCAAAAAGAGCACAATATTCAGGAATAAAACCTAACAAAGAAGTACAAAACTGCTACTCTGAGAACATCAAGACACTGTTGATAGACATCTGTAAATCTCAGCAAAGCGGAGAGTATTCCTGTGCTCCCAGGTCAGAAGGCTTCACATTGTCAGGATGATCGGATTCAATCCCCCTCTGAGTCCCAGCTGACTTCTTTGCAGAAACTGACAAACTGATTCCAAAATTCATGACATTGCAAGGAACTCAGAAAAATCCAAACAATCCTGAGAGAGAACATAGGATTCAGCACTGCCCAACACCGTAACTTACCCCAGAGCCGGGTAACCGAGTGTGGCACATGCCCCCCAAGGCACAGGCACAGAGAGCAGCACCCAAACCCCAGGAACACAGCTGTCCATCCACAGCCAGCTTCTTTCCACCACCAGCAGGGAAACAAGTCTTTCCACAACATGGTGCTCAGACAATGCGCAGAATGAAGGTGGACCCTCCAGCACATCATGAAAATTAATGCAAAACATTTCAAAGATCTAAATGTAAGAGCAATGCCTACAAGACCCGTAAAGGAAAAGGAAGAGGTAGGTCATCATGACCTTGGCCTTGGCAAAGACTGTCAGACACAACACCAAAAGCACAAGGTACAAAAGGAAAACTAAAGTGGCCTTCGTCACAATGAAACACTTCTGTGCTTTGAACACCACCAAGACCGTGAAAAGAAACCCACAGAATATGAGAAAGTGTCTGCAAATCCTACACATGTGAGGAGATCCGCACCAAGACCCAGACTTGATAAACACAGCAACAGAATGGCGGCGACGAGAAACAGGCAGACAGCACCAATAGGCTTCTCCAAAAAAGACATGGAAACGGCCAGTAACACACAGAAGGCCCCCTGGCGTCTGTAGCGGTCGGGGAAATGCAAACCAAGCCCATGGTGAGGTAGTGTTTCGCAACCAGGACAGTTAGAGCCAAACGTCAGGTAACATGAAGTGTTTGTGTCAGAGCCCTGAGACACAGTTGACGTGCATGGAGAAGGGTACAGCGGTCTCGAAAACCAGTCTGGCGGTTCCCCACAGATTCAGCAGTGACCACAGACCCAATGATCCCAGTCCTCAGCAAGCACTCAAGGGAACTGAAAACAAACGTCCACTCAGAAACCTGCACACAAAGGTTTACAGCAACATCCTTCATCATCACCAAGAGGTGGCTGACAACACACGTGCCCATCAGCGGATGGGTGAATAAACGTGCATACAGTGCAATTGTACTTGGCCATTAAAAGAAATGAAGCACAGACACTTGTCACAACATGGATGAGCCCTGAAAATGCTGAGTTAGTAAAGAAGTCACTCATGAGGAGTCTACATGACACACTCCACCCACGGACAAGTCCACACCCAGGATAGGACACCAAAATAGCACAGGACTTGAGGCAAAAATGCAAAACTTCACAACCTATGTTTGGTGCATGACTAGAAGAATAATTTAACCCTCGTGATCAAAATAAAAGATACATGTGCAAAAATAGATCATCATATATCTCATTCTAAAATTCAAGTTCCTTTGGAATTATCAGAAACAAAGATTGCCAATATACACTTACTAGAATCGGGCATAATGCGAAGGTCGCCTTCTTTATAATCATCTAGGAGCTGGTACATGTACAAGACGGGATCCTTCTCGTAGGTGATGTAGAACCACGTGTTCATGATAGGGGCGCGCGCTAGGACCATCCCCCTCCACTCGTCCTTGGAGCCATCCTCCGTCTCAAACATGTGCTCTACCGCCTTGCCGATCATCGTGTCGGCCAAGTGTGCATCACTGATTCGAGAAGTCGCTGTGGACAAGAAGCAAACAACGGTTCACATGGGGGTTTTACAAGATCCGTACTGTGGAGACTGAGCTCCGGCAGAGGGACAGCCTGAGACGTGGTCCACGCACCACAGTAGTGGCACAAGGGCCAGCCGGAGGCAGCAGGGGCCAGGCCCACAGTACTGCTGGGGGCCCAGAGCACGGGCTCCCACGGCACCTCCTGGTTCTGTTCCCAGGCAGCTCCTGGTTCTTCTCCTGTACTCCTCTGCCCTACACTGATTCTACCTGGAACTTCCAAAGGTTTTATTCGAAGTATAAAGTGTTTAGTGTTAATGGTTACTTTATATACTGAGTAATCACAGCCTCACTCTAACTGCAGGGCAGGAGCGGTCACATACACCGTCACCCCCCTTCCCTTTATTAACACCTGGGTAACACAAGCCAGGGATGCAAGCTAAGAAATTTCACCCATGCCAGGCCAGAGAGGGGACTCTCATATGCATGGTGACCAGACTGCGCCTGGTGTCAGTCACGGCAGCCAGCGCTTTGGCTTAAAATGCCCCAGTGCTTCCACCTGGTCATGTGAAAATCAAACCATTTCCCTGGGCCTCGCAGCCTCCCTTCCTGGCCTGTCCCCCTGCCCCCACGGGCCTCTCTCTCCTTCCCACCAGGCTCCTCTGTTTCCAGGACCACAAGGTGAGATCAGCCCCACACCAGCCACCTGTCGTGTCCTCCACTTTACTTATTCCCTAATGACACCTGGCATCACCTGCAGTGATCCTGTTCCTGGCTCAGACAGCATCTGCATTCCCACACTGAGACCCCAGGGCGTCAACAACTACCGTACAAACTAATTCTCAGGCCTGCTGTGTGAAGAGGCTGGCGGACAATCACAACCTTCCTTTTATTAATAGTGGGAAAATCATGGAGGATCCTAATGATGCAAAGATTTCTCTTGTCCTCACATTTTAGACAATTGTCATTAAAAACAAATTAGCACTTCTATTTCACTCATTCATAATCGCTTCTATTTCTGTTAAAATTCAAAGGAACAGATTGTAAGTTCTTGCTAAAGATACTATTACCTAATTTTATTAGAAGGACACTCCAAGCACATATGGTGGTTCTCTCCACTTACACATGCAGGAATTCTCCAAAATTACATAAAATTCCCCACTGCACACTAAAACAAAGCCTACTACACTCTTTAGGCCAGAATTTCTCAAAGTTCGATCTCCAGACTCCTATATTCTTAAAATATTTCTGAGGATCTAAAAATGCACTTTAGCAAAAATAAATAAATAAATAAATAAATAAATAAATAAATAAATAAATAAATAAATAAAATGCACTTTAGCATATGGATAACTATCAGAATCAGCTGTTGGAAATTATAAATGACAAATCTACAGAATTCATTTCTAACAAAAAATAACTATCTTCTTATAAAAATGTAGTAGGAAGTGTGTAGCTTCACATCTCTGTACACCTCCTGATGCCCAGCTCTACAGGGCAGCCAGGTTCTCCTATATGCTCCAGTAGTCAGTCACATGCTCTTCCAGTGGACACACAAAATCCAACCTCACAAAGCCCTGCTGCTTAAAAGGGGCTTTTCAGGAAACCAGATGCTCCCCTGTGATGCTACTTGACAATCAACATGTGGTAGCTCCTTCATGGTTAAGTGTGGTGCAGAATCTGGAATTGTTATTAGCAAACCTGTCACAGTCACAATAAAACTGTCTCCAGAAGAGATAAAGAACTTCGACAACTCAGCAGCAAAAAAATAAATAATCTGATGGAAATTGGGCAAGGATCCGAATAGACATTTCTGCAGAGATGACAGACAAGTGGCCGAAAAGCATGTAAGAAGATGCTCAACATCACTAAATGTCAGGGAGACTCACATCAAAACTGACAGAGAGGGATGCCTGGGGGGGTTCAGCGGTTGAGTGTCTTGCCTTTGGCTCAGGTCGTGATCCCAGGGTCCTGGGATCGAGTTTCGCACTGGGCTCCCAGCATGGAGCCTGCTTCTCCCTCTGCCTCTCTGTGTCTCATGAATAAATAAAATCTTAAAAAAACAAAACACAAATGAAAAAAAAAAAACACCCAACAGGGCAGGGCACGCCAAGGGCCGGGGAGGACAGGAGAGAAACCAGAGCCTGTGCCTGCAGCTGGGAACCCAAGATGCTATGAGTGTTGTGAAGAACAGCACAGGGACACCCCAGCAATTCCACCTGGGGCACTGTCCTCGAGGGACAGGAAAGCAGGGGCCCACCACCTCCACAGCAGCATCACCCCCCGCAGCCCCACAGAGGGCGGGAGGCACAGAAGGGGTGCACGTGAGCACGGAGGCATGGTGCAGCCCTAGAGAGAAGGGGGTGCTGCAACTGCAAGGGTGCAGTGAGGTCACAAGAACACAAATACTCTACAATCCCATTAGGAGGCGTTTCAGGTGATCAACACCACGGAGAAGGGTGGGGGGCGGTGGTAAAGAGGGACAGAGCTACAGGCCAACAGGATGAAGACTTTCTGGAGACCTGCTCCACGACTGTGCGGACACAACTAAACACTCGCTTAATTATGGACACTTAAGAATAATCAAGGTAGCGAACTGCAGGTCACATGTTTTCTCACCACAAAACTAACCTGTTGATCGTCCAATGGATCCTTTACCAGCACATGATCTGGTCCCATAGAGAAGATGCTGTGTTTGCTGAGTGATACAGACCATGAACACTGCCTCCTTCCCAGTGGAATGAGAGTGACCGCTACACAGCTTTCCAGACTGAGGTCCACAGGGAATACCGACATTAACTAGCAATTCAAGTCAGCACGCGATACCCTGGCTTGCATAGCAGCCTTTGTATTTCCTTGGTAAGACTCTAGAAAAGCAACCCTGCCTCCTGCTGGGAACTGCCAAGAAAATAGGAGGCACTCTGGGTCCATCACCATAAATACTTAGAGATTTGGGGCTATTTTGGTTTGTTCAAACCATGTTTTTACCAACATATAAGGACTTCCTCTGTCCTACAATGGCAGAAGAACTCGGGAGATCTGACACAGGCAATGCAGCAGAATGCAGGTAATCTCATGTGGGCTGGCAGCCTCGCCCCAGGAAGGAGGGAGACTAAACTTCTGGGTCACAAGAATATGTGATCACTACCCAGCACAGACAATGGATATAAAGGTTTGGACATTTTCAACACCTGAAGGTAAGACTCTTTGATGTTTGTGTCCTACATTGGAAATGGGCGCACATGGGGATCAAGAGGAAACCATGGCATCCTACGGGGGTGGGGGGTGGGGGGGGAGGCCTCAGGAACAGGTGAAGATATGACAGGTGCCAAAGATGCAACACCGCTCAGTGAGGTACCTTGAATAAATGGATAAGAAAGATGGAAAGCAAGATCTCTGTGAGAACTGAGCAGTCCTGACAAAGACAAATACACAGCACTGCTATCCTCAGGGAACACCAACAAGAAACCTGCTGACCTGGCAAAGAATTAACTTGGTGGGGGAAGTGTGTGTCCTAAGAACACAGGGGCAAGAACAAAGGGGACAGGGGACTGAGGAGCACCATCTCTTGACAACCTGGCCCCTCCAGGTCCACCTCTGCTGGGATGGGGTTTGTTAACACGGAAGCTTCTAAAGACCATTCCAAAAGCATAAACAGATAGATGCTCGTACACGAGCAGCATCACTGTAATAAGGAAACATTTCAAAGTGAACACTCTGAAGAAAGTAAGGTTAATGCAGATGATCTTAACAATAACATTTTACTTCATTCCTAAGGATAAAATCAGTCATTATTATTTAACGGACACCTTGTGTCTTGAGGAACACATCTGGGGGACATTTAAAGACTCCCTTCCACAGTCAATGCAAACAGGGGGTGGCTGCCTCAGGTGTGGCTGCAAATGCAATGCCACTGACATTACACGATGAAAGCTACACTTCACATAAGGCTTCTAATAAAGGCATAAGCTACCACAGTCTGATGAAACAAGTGCACAGCATAGTTGAGCTAATAAAATATTCTTACCCATCAGAGTCCACATGAACAGTGAGCAAAATGTAGGAAATAACCATGTTAGAAATTATCAGATTGTCAATTTCTTCACCAATAACCTGATACATCTTTACATCCCTAACAGTTCCCTGGACTGTGCTTTCAGTGACTTAACTGTGTACTGGGAGTGCCTGCACTCCAGTAAAAATAAAAACACCAATAATGCAAAAGAATCATCAAAAAGCATCCATTTCGATAATCATTTTTAAAGCATACAACGCACAAATAGTAAAGAGAACTTACCAACTCTATCAGGGAGGACTTCGAGCGCAGAAACTCTTTCATCTTTATTAAGTTCTAGTCCATAAACACAGTCAAATCCATCGTATTTTATAAGATACAAAGAAGGATTTACAGGCACCTGGTCCAGAACGGTTCCTTTCCACTGGGTGACAGGGCCATTCCCCTCCTTCCACCCATGCTGAATCCTGCAGCCTACGATGTTCCGCCGGGGCTGGGAAACAGGTTTGCTCGGCCCCACACTGCTCCGATGTTTTCTGCATTCACACATATACACACGTAAGGGATCATCTCAGAAGTATGCACCCCTCGATCCAACGCTACCACTAGCTAGCATGCTCTCCTCCAGGTAATCCCAGGCCTGCACTGGCTAACGGTGCCACGTTCCCGGTCCAGGTGTCTACAGGTGAGCTCCCCACCCCCATCACTGCATGTACACATGGCATGGCAGCCACAGGGCTCCCCGTGTACCCACTGTGGACAGGCAGCAGGGCACACTGCCCATCAGCCCTCGTACTGAGCATGAGCATCCTGTTGTCAGCATTCCGAGTTCCCTTTAATGCAATCAATTCACAACAATCCCAGTTAATCAGAGGAAGAGAAGGGCTGACCACGTGAAATATGTAAACATGCACATGGCTTTACAGAGCATGAACCTGTTCCTCATCACATGAAATGTGCAAACGTTCAGTGTCACCCACTGTGGTGGCCACATCTTGAGCCTCCACCACCTGAAGCAGTGAAAAGACACTAGACATTGAGTTTGTCCCTTCTCCCTGGCCAGCAGTCCAGGCTGGCTGGCATCTCGCTCCGTCAGACCCCCACACGGTACCATCAGGACGTCTCCAGAAAACATGCGATCTTACACACTGAGACTTGGGACAAATACTTAATGTAACGTTAAAAAGTGTTACAGCAACATATTCTTCCCAGATTAAAACTGAAAACTCTCCGCATGGTGTTTATATGCAGTACATGTGGGTCCTGGGATCCTGGTTCCACCTAGCTCTCCACACATAACGGACGGCCCAGCCCTGCCCACGCTGCAACAAGAACCTTCAGTAAATAGAAAGCTCTTGCTGCGGCAGCACGAGCGCAAATGATGAACGACTGGCACACACACAAACGTTGAAAAGGAAAACCATTTATTGGAGGCTGTAACATTTAAAGCTACAGAGGTATGTATTTCCAGTAGAAGAGTCTGGCAAGCCCAGAGTTCTGTGAGACGGGAACAGGTGCCAGCAGAGCATGGCTGCCTGAGGAGGCCGGGTAAGCTGCTGCAGGCTTCACCTCAACCAGAGGCGCCGGCCCAGGAGTAAACCGTCTCACGCTGGGCTGGAGAAGGGGTCCTGAGGTTCTGAGGTTCCGTGCAGGGCTGTGAGGACAGCAGCAATCATAGGTCTGCCCCCCACCCCAAGAAGGCTCGGCAAGCACACAGCAAACCTGCCTCCCAGGAAGGTGGGGCTCGCCGTCTTCTCCGGCAGAACAGCACCATGAGAGACAAAGAGACAATGGGGACACGTCACAGAGACCTCACAGAGACACAGGGGCTCTGAACTCGGCAGCAAGGACAGCCATCGGGGAGTAGGACCCCAAGGGAAGCATACCCCCAAAGGTATCTGCAACCATCAGACATACAACCCAGAAAGGAGGACTGAAGTGTCCAACAGACACTGGGGGGCACGCCTGGGAGAGAGGACAGAGGACAGAGGACAGTAACAGAGAGACAGTGACAGACACCAGTTCCAGCTTCCAAACAACAGGACGACACCATATAACTCTAGAGAAATGCCCCAAATCTGTGAAGGCCACCCTGGGAAAGTGGGCCCAAACCACAGACACTGACATTCTAATAAGACAAATGGACCTCAGGGAACAGAACATCTTGTGGGCATCTGGGCAAAGGGACCACAGCATGTATAAGCAAACAAACTGGGAACGTTGACAGTGACACTGGGGCCACCAGACAACAGAGTGACAGGGGTCAGATTCCCAGGACAGAAACATGAGCCGAAGGCTCTCCACTGACCACTGAGGCCCAGGAAGACTGTCCTCACCAGCACCTCCTGAGAAGTCACAGGAGTACCACAGAGGCCAACCCCAGGCAGAGGTCAACCCCCAAAACTGTCAACTTCAGGCCTCTTTACAACCCCTGGGAGCATGCCGCTGTACCTGATGGGCCCCATGTGGGGTGGACGGGGAGCAATCCTGCTAGCATGGCATTTCTTCTCCATCAGCCCATCACCTACTTCTTGTGACATTTAGGCAGAGATGCCAGTGATGCACTGTATACAGGGTCAGGCTTTCTGCACACAAAGGCAGAGGCTCGCTCCCAAACCCCAGTGAGGAAGGAATGCAGTCCCACGCAGCATTTCAGTGATCCACATCAACACTCTGCAGTCGCTATCAAAATGAGGGCAATACAGCATCTGCACCAATGTCATGGTTTAGCCAACTCTGTCAAGGTGGCTGGGCCACAGTACTTGGGTATGTGCTCAACCATTACTGTAAGTTTTTCTGTGAAGGCACTCTTCTAGAAGGACATGTACATCAGCAATGCCCTGCTCAACAATGTAGGTGGGCCTCATCTAGTCAGTTGAAGGTCATAAGAAAATGTGGTCTCACAGGGAGACGCAATTTCCCCCCAGACTGGAGCGGCAACACCAGGTCTTCCCTGGGCAATAACCTCTGTCCTTGTGTGCATGTGTACCTGTATACACACACACACACACCACACACACACACACACACCCACAATCTCCACTAGTTCTGTCGGCTTACAAAAAGAAACTACAGCCAGCAGATTTCTATTCTAGATTCAGAGGCACGTAAGGGATCATCCTCTGTTCCTGTGACTCTCAACAAAACCAACCTAAACATGGCCAAACAAAGGGCAGCTGGAGACTCAGAGCAGCACGTACCAGCTTGGCCACGCGTCCCCCACGTCCCCCATATGTTCACGAGTGGTGCTGTGCTGTGGCTTGCAGCCATTCCTGAGGGAGCATGCCACGGTGCATCATTGCAATTCCAAGCAGAAGACCCTTATCCTGCTGTGTCCAGCAGCAGCGCAGGCCCTCTCCCTCATGGGGAGCTGCTGGGTAGTCCTCTCCAAAGGGGCTCCTGCACCCGTCACCCCAGAACACGGCAGTCCTTTCCTCCGCCTTCATTATGGGAACTGGAAGCACCAAGTCCTGCTGCCGTACACAGGAAGCCTGGGCGGGTCCCACATCTAGTTGTGTCTGTGCGACACGGTGCCTTCACTTCCTCCCGTGGTATCTCCTTTTGTCCGTGTGGCTGATGACGGAGGCTTCTGAGCCCCGTGTGCAGCTCTCGCTGGAAGCCACAGAGCTTAGCTCTGGTCTTACAGAAGCTACCTCTAACCTCTGAAGTGCTGCATTTAGATTTAACGTTTTCCTACTAAAACCTATAATTAATCAAAATCTATGCTTTCTTTCTTTCCTAGCTCTACCAAGAACAGAAACAAGCAAAAAATTCTTAGTAAAAGAATGAAAATTACTGAAAAACACCTCGGCACATAGTAACCCCACCTGACATGCTCAAACCTGGGCTGCTATTCTAAATCGTTATTTTTCATTTCATTCTTTTTTTTTTACTTTTTTTTTTTAAATTTATTTATGATAGTCACAGAGAGAGAGGCAGAGACACAGGCAGAGGGAGAAGCAGGCTCCATGCACCGGGAGCCCGACATGGGATTCGATCCCGGGTCTCCAGGATCACGCCCTGGGCCAAAGGAAGGCACCAAACCACTGCGCCACCCAGGGGTCCCTTTCATTTCATTCTTATCTGAATAACTTTTTAAATACATTACCTTACTTAGAAACAAACAAGGAAGGATTTTTGTTGCTTCTTGTAACATTCCCATCTCATAGACGTTTTATCTTTCTAGAAACATCCTCTGGTGAAGACGGGTTCCCAGAGGCAAGTACACGTTCCCGCAGCCTCCCAACGCTGTCCTTGCACCCGTGTCTACACGTCCGGCTCAAGGCCCTCCTCCCTCAGGACCTGTGTCAGCAAACACTATGTTCACTGTCTCCCATCTTCCAAGTTACAGAGAGCAGGCCAATCGGTCCTTCATTTTAACCAGATTTTCTGAGTTGCTTTTAGAATTTTCTCTGTTCCTGCAATCAGAAATGTCAGAACTTGTGACTTGTGTTTTTAATCACCCCTCAACTAGCACTTGGTCCATGTAAGATGTGCAGAATTATCTACCCTATTTATTCTTGATCCTTCCCCCTCCATCCCTTCCTCAGGAGAGGTATACAGTGCTTCCAGGTCCATCCACCATCCACCTTCCTGGGGTTGCTCACCTTCCTGAAAGCCTCAGAACCAAGTTTTCCTGAATCAGGTAAAATAGGCTTGAAATTCAGCCTATCCGTTGAATACCTTACATAGTATCTTTAATTTCTAGAAACTGATTGCTTGATCTCCTCTTGAACAGTGACTTTAAAGTTAACAAGCCTTCTGACATCAAGGGTAAGGTTCACGTCCTTCCTGATACCCTATGAACTCTGCAGGCGGGCCCTGTTCATGCAGGTGGGTGCCGTGTGACTCTCCTCCATCAGTGCTCCTCAGGTGCCTGACGGTCCCTGGTGCTTCTGTGTTACATGCAGGCTGAGACCAGAGCATCTGTAGTGGGAGCACTTCCCTCAGGCCCGGGGGAGCCCTGAGATCTGGGCAGGGTCTGATAAGCAGCTGTGGTGCAGGGGGCTGCAGAGTGGTGGGGAGGCAAGGGAGCCGAGACCTTGGGGAGGGTGGCCAGGGACATCCTGGGCATCTAAGCAAGCTGGATCCCCTTTCCGGCAACCTCGGCTGCAGCCAGCCCTGGTGGTCTCTGACCTACACAGATTCCAGGGCCTACTCTGGTCGTCACTCTTTGGAGTCCTCCTTTTCACCTCAAAGTGGCAGAGTATTCCTCAGCTCACATTTTATATAAATCTGCTCCAACATGCTTTAGGTCTCCCAGAAATTTCTAGTGTTCTGGCCTCCCAGAATAATGTAGGATGAACTTTCTAGTTCATTAGCAACAAAAATTCAAAGTTTGAGGAGTTATTTTAATGTGAATTATGGCGAGGCAGGCCCTCTATCTGCTTATGGTACAGATACAGTTCTCCTAGTGATTCCACGTGCAGGAATTTATCTGCAGAAGGTAGTGGGCAGACACCAGGTCATGACGGCAGAGCAAAGAGTGTGCACATTCAACAACAGGCCCCCTGATATAGCAGCTTGCAGCATGTGT